CTAAGGCTAACGCTACTACTACTCCTGCAGCGCTCCCTCCAGAGTGCTGCTGCCGAATCCTGAAGACTACTGCCTCCTGCCTACCTGTGAAGTGCATGGGAAGTCCCTATGTACTACCTCGGCCTGCCTCCTGACTGCCTGAAGGGCAAGCCAGGCCGAGGAGGCTGCTCTTGCCCATGCCGAAGTGTGCCAGGGGCTGGAGCTGCATCCTCTGCTGAGGCTGTCGTGGGAACAGGCTAAGAATAGCCTGTTCCTGAAACCCTGGTTCGGTGCCTGAGTTTCAGGGCCGGTCGTTCTGATGAACGACCGAAAATGGCCCTTCGTTTCAGGCTAAAAAGGGTATTGCCATTTTTAGTCTGAAACGACACAGGGTCTGTAGGCCCCTGTTTTTCAGGCTTTTGGGCTGAACAGACACGGGGCCTGTCGGCCCTGGTTTTCAGGCTTTTAGCCTGAATTTCAGGCTTTCAGCCTGAGGGACGCAGGGCCTGGAAAATGGCCCTCATGTGCAGGCGCTGCATGTAACAGTACTAGTGGTTTAACACCCCCTTTCCTTTTTTTCAAAAAAAAGGCCGACCGCCTTGCGATATCTTCATTGATCAGACCGGCCCTAGGTGATTCAGAATGATTTATTCCATTCACCAAGGTCCAGAAGGATTCGAACTCAGGTCTGTATTTCAATGGTTCATGGGTGTACTAACTGAGTTAGGCTGGTTGGTTGCACAAAGATTTCAACTGAGATATGCTGGTTGGTTGCACAAAAAGAAATCTTGAGCCCGTGAATGGACGTGGGAACATGAATGAAACGGTCGTTGGTATAAACACCGTGGCCGGGTGAGGTTCGGGTCTGGACGGGCCCAAGCTAAAGAGTTCGAAAATTGAAAAGGGAACTCTGGCTCTGAAATGGCCAAGGATCAAATCTGCAAAATACTAAGGTACTGGGAATTTGGAAGTGAAGACCCACAACCCGAAACAGGTTGCAGCGCCGAGGCAATCCAAAGGACTGGGACCAGAAATAAATAGGTACCCCACAGATCCAGGGTTGGAGCCCCTGGCACGTTACAGTGCTCGTCACTTCATTTATAGCTGGTTCTCAAACTAATAGTTACGCAGCACTGTATACTGCTACATGGCAAGTCTGACCAGGCAGGCTGCCCAGGGAGGATGTCCAGCTGGATTGTTCCAGGCCCCAGGTTGTGTGCAGCTCTTTCTTTTTTTCTTTCTTTTGGCTTTTACATCATGTGACTCAGATTAACCAAAGCTGATAGATAAATCTGATCTTCTTTTGTTTTCTTTTTCTTTTCATTTTGTTCCTTTTTTTTCTTTTTTTTACTTCTTTTTAAGTATTTACTTTTTTTTCTTTCTAATGCGCAGGGGCCATGCTAATCTACTCTGTATGGTTCCAATTTTAACAGATGTCCCGAAGAACTTTTTTCTTTCTTTTCTTTTCTTTTCTTTTCTTTTCTTTTCTTTTCTTTTCTTTTCTTTTCTTTTGATAAATATAATTGTCAATTTGCCTTTTCTTTTTTTTCCTTTGTTCTTTTGTGTAATACAATTTGTGTTAATGTTCCTTTCCTTTCCTTTCCTTTTCTTCTTTTCCTTTTGGATAATATGATGTGAGTCATGTGACGTTGTGAACCACAATTACCAACTCAGTCAACTCACTCTGCCACCGTCAATCCCGAGCCTGTCAAATGCATAGTCCAAGATCTGCACGCAAATGTTTTCCAACACAGAACAAAAGAAGGTGACAATAAAAACCAAAACAAAGTGAGCACTTAATTACGGAACAGTGAACACATAAACCAAATAGGAATGCTGAATGATAGCCACCAAAGCTTGCAACTTTGGTGTGCGCTAAGCTTGCAACTTTGGTGTGCGCTAAGCTTGCAACTTTGGTGTGCGCTAAGCTTGCAACTTTGGTGTGCGCTTGCTCCACCGAATTCATGGCCACCATACCTAGATGCAAATCTGCCGTCTCACACCAACCACAAGTCCCAACTCAAAAAACAAGATTGCAGCAGCAAACGCACTCAGAGGAGAGGCAGCAGCAATCACACACAAGACAAGAAAAAATCTTCTTAAACACTCCTCCACCTCCTCCTCCTCCTCCTCCTCCTCCCCCTCCCCCTCCTCGTCCTCATGTTCTTCCTCCCCCTCCTCCTCCTCTTCCTCCCCCTCCCCCTCCTCGGCAATTGCTGTCGCAGAAGACAGGAAAATGATACCACATATCTTGCACCCAAAGAAAGAGCTCCACTTCTATTTTCATTCCCACTTTTCGCTCAGAACAGCAAACGTTTTTACAGCAGGCCCCAAGGTCAAACCTATAGCAAAGAGAGTTCCAAACCAGGAAAACAAGGAACTTCATTCCCT